GGGGGAGGGAGTGCGTGGAGTGGGAGGCGCTCTAGGTCAAGGGGGAGTGGGGGGTTAAGGGGGGCCGGGGTGGGCCGGTCTGGAGGCCCATCGGCCTACTGGGCCGAGGCCCAGATTGGGCGGGGGGGGGGGTCCTTCCCTCTTTTTTTGTTTCGTTTTACCTTTTGTCTTTTCTTTTTATTTTATTCTTTTCTGTTTTAGTTTAGTCACACTTTATTTTAGTTTTTATAAAATATGACCATAGCTCCTAAAATAAGGTTTCAGAACATCCCTCTACCATAAAAAGTTTGGTGGTCAATTAAACTAGTTTAACATTTGTTTATTATTCAAAATCATTTGAATAATTGTTTGCTACGGTTTTATTCACTTTAGAGTATTTAATCATTTCATAAAAGTGTGATTCCTTCACCATAATTGATTATGATTTATTTGCTACAATTTGAATATTTTTCATTTGACAATTGAAAACTTTTATTGTTTGACTTTAATTGAAATTTGAATTTGGCTCGGATCTGAACTAACACGAGATTAGCAACAGTAATCGTGGTGACGTGGCATCATTACCAGAGGGTTACTGTAGCTTGATTATCTGGGCGTTACAGGAGTATTGCCTGCACAGTACACTTTTTAAGCAAAAGAAACCATGTTTCCCGTTTTCATCAAGTATATGCATTCTTTTGTGATCTGCGAAAAAAAGAGAGTGCCCATGCGTTATCACTACAATTTGCACTTAAACACTGCACTACAATATACTATGAGTGAACTATGATCTCATTTTTGTGATTTGAACCCCTTTTTACTTGAGAGCATATGAGCGAAAAGCAATCTGCACTATCCAATGGCCCTCCTTTACTCTTCAATTCAACATCTAAAATATTCAACATTTCAGCACAAGTGAATTTCAATGTCATTTGAACTCGGCCTAAGCTAACAATTCGCTTTGTGCACGACAATCCTTTCAGTCATACATGCTGACAACCCAGGACTAAAATATACATGACTAAGTCTATACAATGTATTCATGTGTTCACATTTAGAATGAAAATGCTACTATTCCATCCATTTTATTTCATGTTAACTTTGCCTTTTCCGTTTCAAGTAATTTATGTTTTTCTTCAAATAGTTTATGAAAAGTATATAATTTCGAAGTCCCGCAGCAACGCGCGGGGCATCATCTAGTATGTATAGTTCACCTAGAGATTACTTCATCTCACGTGTGGCTACATCCCATCTACTTTGATCTACGAGGAGCTAACATGATACCTAAGTGTTATACTCAGTGCCACGACACCAAGGAGTTCATCTTATTCCTCATCAACCCGCTTTGCCATTATGAGTTCATCTAGATGGCAGTCATCCTCTGGGCCAGTGACGTCGATGTGTCGCAACAAGCATGGCATCTTCACCCGGGCATCAACAATGGTGTTTAAAGATAACATATTGACCCAACATCTTGAAGGCTTTAGTTTTCCTTGAAGCGTCCAACCTCGTTCAATGCATATTTTGAGTTTTTAACAATTTTGTCATCTTGTCAGATTGCTTGGAGGTGTCTCCAAAAGAATTGGTTGAAGGTGGTGACCATATTCATGAAGGAAGTGGGGGAAACTATAGCTACCGCGGTGGTTCATGAGATCACCGCTCAAACATGAAGCTTCACCGACACTTCCATCAGGATATAAGATCAACTAATGTCCATATGCTCACCGCGATGAACATTTGAGTGCAATCAATTAAAAGTTCTATATGAAAATGACACCGAACTCCATTCTTTTGTCAAATCCTTCCACTCGAACTATACATCCTACACCAAAGATATATAAGAAATATGAAAAAAAAACTTATTTATGGGATGTTTGGACATTGGGAGCAAACATGATTCACAGACTAAACTCCGTACTTAAAAAGACGCTCTTAGGACGGCGCTTAAGCCTAAGCTCTAGGCGACAACAAAACCATAATTGCACTTAAGCCCACACTTTGGTTAAAAAAGCACAAGGTGATGATTGCACGCGCAATCAATGTCTAGAACTCATTAAAACCTTATTAAGTTGACCACACTCAAATTCCCTTCTTCTTGGTGTCTTATACTCACTGTTCAAGAATGCACCCGATTAATCAGTTAACGGGCCAGTTAATCGTTAGTCATAGCATGGCCGAATCGAATAACACCAATTCGTCACGTTAACTTGTCATGCCAATTAATTGGCCAGTTAGACCGATTAATCGGTTTTCATGCCGATTAATCCGTGCTGGCTCATTAACGGGTGGGCAAACAAAGCCCAAAATTTTGGCACATAACCCCTTCCGGCCCCATGCCGCTCCTTAATAGATAGGATTAATAATTTTACCTCCTCTCTATGCTTTTCATATGTGTATAGCAGCATATTTTGGTATACTACATAGCTGGGAGCATGAGAGTATGGTATAATACATTAAAAAAATCTAGATATATGTTGGCAAGTTTCTATTCAATCTATCGGTTAATGGTCGATCGATTAATCTAGTTAATAGGCCGATTCACTGATTAATCGCTACTCCTAAACTGACCGAGCAGCTACCAGTTAACAATTTCTTGAATATTGCTTGTACTACTGAAGACCCTACATATCACTACATGGCTGCTTTTGCATATTTTGAGGAAAGCAACATAGCTTCTCAACAAAGCTCATGCTTTTGCAATGAACAATAGAAAATGTTTTTTTTGTGAACGACGAATAAAACACATTGTTTTTAAAAATAAACTTGCAAATATATCATGGAAAATGACCACTTTAACATTTAAAGAAAACAAACCAAACAATGTAAATATCTGTTTGACATTGCCAAAACTGTTATTGCATAGACACACAAATGTAATGATTTTCGTGGGAAATAACAAATATGTGAAGACCTCGATAATTTAAATGTATTGATGTTATATGCAATTATAATTTACTTTTCATCTTAATGCACATTCGAGTTACCCAAATCACTTACATCTTTCTTAGTATTATGATAAAAAGCTTTTATATATTTTTATAAATGCCTAAAGGAAGAATACATGTAAAAACTCGATACCAACCAACCAAATCAAAAAACAACAGTAAAGAAGTATATGGCAATTCAATTATTTGGAACATTATATTTGCCAACGGAATATAAATTTACCCCGTCAATAGTTGCTATTGCTACCAATTCTTGGTCTGGGATTGCTCTCGCTTTAGGGTCAATCAATACGGTGCCTCATCAACTATCAAATGGAGTCGACCTCGCTTGGATTTCATGCGAGCCGGAGTAGGCTTGTGCATCACCCATAACCGTGGAGGGTCTCCTTTCACTGGTCCGGTCTCTTGCTCCCAATGATGCCATGGTTGCTAACCATCTTTAGGGCAATTTTGCTTGGACCAAATTGCCCCATGTCCACTCTCTCCTCTTTGCAGATGATCTTCTAGTTTGTGGGTAAGCCACTACTCAGGAGGCTAACATTATGGCCCAAATTAATCAACATTTTTATGCCATTTCAAGTCAAATTCCAAACTGGTCCAAATTTGCAATTATTTTTAGTGCCCGTGTCAATCAAGTTGTTATTATTGAGATTAAGAGCATTTTCATAGTTCTTAATATTAATAAAAACTTTACTCATCTGGGGCACCCTATTCCTTCTCCCTGCTAAAAACAGAGTTCATGCATATAACTTTGTTATTGATTTTTTTGGCAAAGTTTTCTGCTTAAATGGCAACATGCTTTCACATGTAGCTAATATGGAACTCATCAAATTTGTTTGTTTTTCCCTCCATCCCTGTCTACTATATGTCAAACATTTTGTCCACTAAGAAAGTTCTTGCCAAGCTCACTTCTATTATTAAGAACTTTCGGCGGACAGAAATCAGGGAAAGCAATTCGACCATAAGTCTTTTTGTTTTAGGGCATGATGGATATTTGCACCTCTAAGCAAGAAGGGGATGGGTATTAGAAATCTCCAAGCCATTGATGAAGGTCTCATTCTTGTCGCTTATTGGAGACTTGCTAGCTCTCTGAGTTCCCATTAGTATCTTGTCCTCAAATCCAAAAAAATGTTGAATTCATCCATTTGGACAACCATTCCACTACGCAAAAAAATTGTCTTCTGGTCTTTCATTCTCAAAATTATGTACTCCCTCGGATGGTTGCAGATATCCTACAAGCGTAATATTTTTCTTCAGGATTTCTTTGCAGGATATGCACTTCCAAATACACTTACAAATTATTCAAGATGACCGCCCTAATATTTTTTTTAAATTTTTTTCCTTTCGTTTTTTTAGACAAATAAGTTGTCCAAGTCTGGTTCAGTCTCCCAGCCCAAAAATAAGAAGGAAAACACGAGCGTGTGGTGTGTCCAGTGGTGAGCGTAAATACGCAGTGGCTTAGGGAATCGAAACCCGCTACACGTATTTTCAAGCCAGGCCCGTTAGAATGTGCAAGAGAGGCAGTGGGGAGCTGGTGGGGAATTCGACCTGAAATCAGCATAAAAACAGTCGTTTTTGCTGCTAATTCTGCACTGGGTAAAAACAACAAAACACGTGTCGACATAGGACTGGACAAAAAATACAGCCTAAACCAAATACAAAATCAGACGGCCGAAAGTTAGACACTCCCGAAGCAAAAGGAGCGGTTTATACTAAATAGGAACAAAAAAGGGGGATGGATTTGTGAAAAAGAAACAACTTGTCGCACTGGGGGTTTTCTCGCAGCCTCCGCCCTCCTCGTGAGCCATCTCCCCCCGACCTCCCGATGCCGCCCAAATCCAAGGCCGCCGCCGCCGCCGCCGCGGAGCCGGTCTCCGTGGAGGACCTCTTCGCGGCGCTCCACCGCCACATCGAGGCCGGCGAGTTCCCCCAGGCCGTCAAGGTCGCCGACCAAGGTCAGGCACTAAATCTCCTCCATCGCCTCTCCCCGACGCGCCCCCCGGTGCCCTGCCCTACCCAGCACTGATACATACACGCCTGTAATTCTGCAGTTCTCGCGGCGTCTCCGGGCGACGAGGACGCGGTGCGATGCAAGGTTGTGGCGCACATCAAGTCCGACGCGACGGACAAGGCGCTCGCGGCCATCCGCGCCGCCGAGCGCCTCCCCATCGATCTCAGTTACTACAAGGTGACGCGAGCTGATCCTCTCTCTCCCGTGGTAGTTGCGCTGGATCCGTGTGTGTGGACTTGGTTTCGTGACTGCGTGGATCAGTAGTAGGCTGCGGTTTTAGGATCTAGTAGTACTAGTAGTAGCCAGATCTGTTTGTGCTTATGCCCGAAGGTAAAATCTGGCGATCTGGGCGAGGAAACGGAAAGTTTGTGAAGCAAATCATCTTTGAAGCTTCCAATGTCAAATTTAGTTCAACCTTATGCTGTCAGCATACGAAGTATTTTCTTGGAGAACAACATTGCATAGCAAAAGTGTGCCATCGAGATTCGTAACATGGCATGATTATTGGCTTGCCTCGTACTACTTTTTCTTAGAGAAAATTGTTTCATGCTACTGATAAAATCCACGTGCACTTGTTCACTTGCAATGCATACTATTCCAGGGGAGGGAAGGGAAAGTTTGTGGAAGGTTGATTGGGGTATGGCAAGAACCTGTGGCACTGCAAGCTAAATATGTGTGCTGAAGCATTTTTTTCCATTACACTTCTCTTAACTTCAGTTTAGAATGTGAGATTCTAATGAGTACACAATGTCCATAATTGCATGAGCCTTTATACAATTCTCTTTTCTTTGTCTGTTCTGATACTGAGCAGCTGTAACTATTTCTTAGGTCAGACTGGTGTGGTAAACACGGTCTTTGGCACCTTAATTGATAATAATTGCCATCCATTTTTCGAATCTTGACATGGTCACCTCTTTTGATTTCTTGTATGGCTTTATGATCTACCATACTGTGTGTGAAGCATTAGGTGACGATGTTTTATTCACCAATCAATGCAGCCTAGTTGATAGCTAGTTTGGCAAAGTGTTTTATTCACCAATTTTTTAGAGTAGATAGAAGTAGAATTGTCGATGAGCTAAGATTGTATTCGATTCTCAATGAAGTGCTGATCTTTGACATTGGGATCCTTACTTTCCTATTTTTTTTTATTTGAATTGTTCTATACATTTCGAAGACTGAGGACATTATATTCACTGGCTATAAAATAATAATATGTGCAAATGTGCTAAGTACTACTTCTATATCTATGTTCAGGCATACTGCTACTACAGGCAAAACAAATTGCAAGAAGCTCTGGATATATTGAATGGTCAAGAAGAAACAGCTGCTGTTCTCCAGCTGGAATCCCAGATCTATTACCGATTAGGAAGAATGAATGATTGCATGAGTAGCTATGAGAAGCTCCAGAAGTTCAAGGTTGACTCAATAGATCTAAAGATAAATATCATCGCTGCTCTAGTTGCTGGTGGAAGGGCTCCTGAAGTTCAGGCAGCCATGAAGGCGCAAAAGGTTGATCTTACCACTAGAGCACTCAGAGATACTAGGAGCTTCGAGCTTGCATATAATTCAGCTTGCACCTTGATAGAAAATAAGAAGTATTCAGAAGCTAAAGAGCAGCTGGACTTGGCGAAAAGGTAATTTTTCTGGTGAACAATTCGCTCATTGAAATGATAATCCAGTGAACATCAATTCTCCTGTAATATTAGAGGCTTGGCAATCATTAAATATCTTATTAGGTCATAGTTCCAAGTTGTTTCACTCTTTCCCATAAACTTAGGTTTCTATTTATGGATAGGCCACTCAACTAAGAAAGTTATGCAATGCCATTGGCCAGTCTATTAAGCTCCTACAGTTAGCTATACTTTAATTTCTTATTTTATTTGCAGAATCGGGAAAGAGGAGCTTATGGTGGAAGATTACGCAGAAGATGAGATTGAATATGAATTAGCTCCTGTATCTGTTCAACTTGCTTATGTACAGCAGGTACCTAAATCTGGTTCAGTTCTCTCTATTCCAAACTTTATTGAATCGTATTAACGTCCTATCTGTATTTTGATCTATAAGTACTTAACTTTCCTGTTTGTATTTTCAGCTACAAGGACAGACTCAAGAAGCCATGGAAACCTATGCCAATATGATAAACAAGAAATCAGGAGACCCCTCATCACTTGCCGTGGCAACAGCCAACCTTATTTCAGTAAAAGGTACAAAGGATGTTGCTGATGGCCTGAGGAAGCTTGACCGGCTTGTCGAGAAGTCGACAGCGCCGAACCAGTTGCAACTGATCGAGAGCCTTGAATTCAAGTTATCTTCAAGGCAAAAAGAAGCCCTGTACTCTGCTCGTGTTCTTTTGCTCCTCCATGCAAATAAAATTGATCAGGTTTGCATATTTGATCCATTTCCTGTTTACCTATTTCTGTATTAAAGTTAATGTTTGTTTTCATCTATCCTGCCCCTGAACTTTTAGAGCCTGTTCATTAGAGCTCCAGATCCTCATTTTACAGCTCCCTGCTCCTGATCCTCTTAGAGTCCACTCCTATGAGGATCTGGATCAGCTTTACAAAATTGTTTGGCTATCAGTTGGCTCCTAAAACATTGATTTGTGGGTTTAGGAATAAATAGACCATACTGCCCTTGATTGTGATACTTTTGTTACCCCTCTATGCATATACGTCCGGCATACCATGACATGTTATGAACATTAACATATCATATAGGAATAGGAATAGGAATATTGTGTGGAGTGTTAGTTCAACAATTCATTTTGAGCTTTTCTGAAGCATCATCTCATGTTGATTGCAATTATGAACCATCACATGTGTGTGCTACGAGTGGTCTCATGATTATCACACAACAACAGAGTGGTGTATGTATTGTATCTGTAGCAACTTTTCCAAGTGTATATAATGAACATGATCAATCTAAATAGATGAAATAAAATGTTCTACCCATAGTTGTGTGGGAACAAAAAATAGTATGACATCAAAATACTCCCTCCGTTCCTAAATATAAGTCTTTTTAGAGATTTCACTATGGACTACATACGGAGCAAAATGAGTGAATCTACACTCTAAACTATGTCTATATACATCCGTATGTAGTTTGTAGTGAAGTTTCTAAAAAGACTTATATTTAGGAACGGAGGGAGTAATTCACAACATCTAGCCTGTAGATTCAGCAATTGCCTTTGCAAGGTCATCACGGAACTTATCCATTGACCTATCACTCGTGCTTGATGTTGATGAGTCTGATGCATCTTTAGAAATACTCCCTCCGTTCCTAAATGTAAGTCTTTGTAGAGATTCTACTAGATGGACTACATACGGAGCAAAATGAATGAATCCACACCTAAAATGCATCTATATACATCCGTATGTAGTTTATAGTGGAATCTCTACAAAGACTTATATTTAGGAACGGAGGGAGTAATATATTTCCTATACCTCGTCGGTATTGTCGGAACATAGTTAGGATTCCGATCAAATCTATGAAAATGCTTATCAGTCATACCATGCTCCCTTATGAAATTGTGCAAAACCATGGTTGCTGCAACAATCATCTTTTGCTTGTACAATGAGTAGCTTGGCATCTTGAGAAGAATTCGCCATTTCATCTTCCATACACCAAAAGTTCTCTCAATGACATTCCGAATACTTGAGTGCAGATGGTTAAATTTTTCTTTCTCGCCACTAGGAGCAACACCTCTTCGGAACTCAGGAACGTGATATCTTTGGCCCTTAAATGGTGACAAATAGCCTGGACGATTTGGATAGCCAGCATCAACTAGATAATATTTTCCTGAAATATAGATGTGTAAGTCAAAAAACATGAAATAGATGCAATAATATACAATCTGATATGAACATAAAGTAGAAAAATACCTTTCGGAGGATGCAGAAAGACATCTTTATCTGCGTCTAATGCATGATAAAGCACACTTGTATCATGCATAGCACCTGGTTGGCCAATAGACGCATATGTGAAGTGCATGTCAAAATCACATACAACCATCACATTTTGAGTTGTACTACGTGATCTGCCAATATATCTGTTGGGCTGTGTCTTATCTGTATTTCAGTGTGTGTGTGTGTGCGCTTATGGCCCATGTGGCCCATGTGGCCCATGTAACCCTGCAGCCTATATATGTGCTGCCCCCTTGTACAGGAAACCCTAACTCCAATAGAATACAATACCAGGCCATCTTTCTATCCCAGCCGCCACCCCTCTCTCCCCTGATTCTACATGGTATCAGAGCTTGGGTTCCCAATCCCAGCAGTGGTGATGGTGGTTGGCTGGTTGTGCTTGCTGGCGATTGTCTGAGAGGAGAAGGCTTGTGTGGAAGGAGAGGTGGAATCCCAGATCTGAGGGGAGGAGGTAGTAGAGAGGTGAAAGTGGGGAGCAGTGGTTGCTGGAGGTTGCTAGTGGTGTGATTCAAGATTGGAAAGATGGGGGACAACCAGGGGTTGGTAAAGGCGTTGGAGAAGCTAGCTGAGCTCATCACTGTCAAGGCAGAGGGTGTGGCTTCCCCAGGTGCGCTTGTTCCTCAGCCTGAGGTGATACAGAAAATAGAACTGATGCCAAATGAAATCAAGATGGAAGGGGTCACAAACTACCTAAGCTGGTCCAGAAGGGCATTGCTAATATTGAGGACAAAGGGGCTGGAAGGCTATGTCAGAGGGGAAGTAGATGAACCGGCGAACAGGGCAAGTGAAGAGTGGAAGAAGTGGAGTGTCATTGACTCTCTGGTGGTGGCATGGCTGCTGAACTCCTTGACCCCATCCATTGCAGCAGCCGTGGAGACTCTTCCCCATGCAGCAGAGGTATGGAAAACCCTGGAAACATTGTACTCCGGGAAAGGGAACATAATGCTTATGGCGCAGATTGAGGATAGAGTAAATGAGCTAAAACAAGGGGATAAGTCGGTGATGGAGTATGTAGCAGAATTGCAGCATTTGTGGGCTGACTTAGACCACTATGATCCACTGGAGTTACCACATTTAGAATGTATAGTTGCTACTAAGAAGTGGGTAGAGCGTAGGAGAGTGATGAAATTCTTGAAGGGACTTAGCTCAGAATTTGAAGGAAGGCGTGCTGGGTTATTTCATCAGCCAAAGCTCCCCTCGCTTGAGGAGGCAGTTGCAGCAATGGCACAGGAGGAGGTCAGGTTGAAGTTGACCAGGACTGGAGAAGCGAATGCATCTCGCTCCGCATTTACTGTGTCTGAATGGAAGGAGACAAGAGAGTGCTTCAACTGTGAAGAGAAAGGTCATATAAGCATCAATTGCACAGCACAACGCAGAGAAATACGTGGTAGGGGAAGAGGTTACAGCCGAGGTGGATACCGGGGAGTTAGAGGCAGAGGTAACTTGAGGGGTTCGAATTATTCCAGTGGCTTCAAAGCAAACTTGGCTAACTTGGCAACGCAAGAAGAAGGGACGTCAACAACCTCTCAAGGGGAGTCGAAGAGTAGAAGCCAGGAGGACAACACCTTCGGGAACTTTGGCCACTTTGTCTACACAGGGGAAGGTAACTTTGCAAATGCATCTATATCCACACATGATTTCCTTCCAGATTGGATATTAGATTCTGGAGCATCCAAGCATGTTGCGGGTACCTCAACTGAGTTTGAATCATATACTCAGTACCCAATTACACATTGTGAAACAATACAAACTGCTGATGGCACCTCACAACCGATTAAAGGAGTTGGATCAGTTCAATGTACACCCACTATTAAATTATCTGATGTATTACATGTTCCAGCTTTTCCTGTGAACTTGCTTTCTCTAAGTGCTTTGATTGATCAGATAGATTGCCGAATAACTCTTGATAAGAAAATATGTTTGATTCAGGAGAGGATGACTGGAAGGAAACATGGGACAGGAACCAGGCGTACTGGATTGTGGTATATGGATCGTGATGTGTCTAGGTCTGGTGCTAGTCCTATTTTGGCTGTACTAGTTGGAGTAAGTGAGACAATGGCGATGATCCATCACTGTCGCATGGGGCATATGGCTTTTGATAAGATGGGTAAGATGTTTCCTGATGTAATGCGTGGAGTAGACAAGAGTAAGCTTGTGTGTGATGCATGTGAATATGCAAAGCACACAAGAATCTCATATTTGAGTAAGGGGCTAAGGAGTATATCTCCGTTTATGCTGATTCACTCTGATGTGTGGACATGTCCTGTTGTTTCTGTTAGTGGAATGAAATATTTTGTGACATTTATAGACTGCCACACTCGCATGACTTGGGTGTACCTCATGCGACATAAAGATGAGGTATTCCAATGTTTTCAGGAGTTTTATGCCTATGTGCGAAACCAATTCAATGTGCAGGTGCAGGTGATCAGATCTGACAATGGAACTGAATATGTAAACAAGCAATTTGGAGGTTTCCTGTCAGCACAAGGCATAATGCACCAAACATCATGTCCAGATACCCCTGCTCAGAATGGTGTTGCAGAAAGGAAAAACCGACACATTTTAGAAGTGGCTCGATCACTTATGTTCACCATGAATGTGCCAAAATTCTTGTGGAGTGAAGCTGCCATGACTGCAACGTTCCTGATCAACCGGATGCCTTCAAAAATGCTTGGTATGAAGTCCCCATGTGAGATGCTATTTGGGGAGAACAAATTCTCAGTTCCTCCGAAGTTATTTGGGTGCACCTGCTTCATTAGAGATCACAGACCAGCAGTGGGAAAGCTGGATCCACGAGCTGTAAAATGCATATTTGTTGGATATCCTGCAGGGCAGCGAGGCTATAAGTGTTGGAGTCCTGCTGAAAGGCGCACATTTGTAAGTATGGATGTCACCTTTCGAGAATCTGAGCCTTTCTATGGTGAGAAGACAGATCTCAGCACTTTATTCGAAGAACTTGACCACTCACAATCTATGCAGGGTGGTCAAGAGGGGGAGTGCAACTTGAGTGGTGAGTGCAGCACCAATGGCGACAAGGAGCAGCCAATACCAACCCCGAAAATAGTGGGATCCTTCATTCCAGTTGTAGTTGATGGGGCTGAACAGCAGAGGTGGCAGAGACCAAATGAGGAAAGGAATCCTCAGGTGTATACAAGAAGGAAGAGAGGTGTGGAGGAACAAGTGCATGAGGAGCAGTCAAAAGAAACTATGGAACAGGGGGAGCAGTCAGAAGAAACTCAAGCGACAGGAAGCTCATCTGAAGTGGAGTCATATGAAAATTCAAGTACTGAAGAAGCATCACCTAACTTGCCAATTGCTCTCAAGAAGGAAGTAGCAAGGAAAACTTTGAGCAAGGGCAATCTTGAGCATGACATCAGTAATTATGTCACCTATGAAGCCCTATCACCTTCATTTAGAGCATTTGTCGCATCACTTCAAGCCGTGATTGTTCCTAAAGACTGGAAAGAAGCAAGACAAGATCCAAAGTGGTGTGAAGCCATGAGGGAAGAGTTGGAGGCCCTGAGAAAGAACAAAACATGGGAGCTAGCAAATCTTCCATATGGGAAGAAGGCAGTCAGTTGTAAGTGGATCTTCACAGTGAAGCAGAATCCTGAGGGTAAGGTTGAGCGTTACAAGGCAAGACTGGTAGCCAGAGGGTACAGCCAAACGTATGGTATTGATTATGACGAAACATTCGCCCCAGTTGCAAAGATGAGTACAGTGAGGATTCTAATCTCATGTGCAGCTAACTTTGGATGGCCACTACACCAACTTGATGTAAAAATGCCTTTTTACATGGAGATCTACAAGAGGAAGTCTACATGGAAATTCCTCCTGGACTTTCTACACCTGGGACTGTTGGGAAGGTTTGTACATTGAGAAAATCTCTCTATGGTTTGAAGCAATCGCCAAGGGCTTGGTTTGACCGGTTCAGGCAAGCAGTTTGCAGTATGGAGTATAAACAATGCAATGGAGATCACACTGTTTTCTATAAACATTCCAAGCAACAGATTACTATTCTTGCAGTATATGTGGATGACATCATAATAACGGGAGACAATGAAGAGGAGATTGGAAGACTAAAGAAATGCCTAGGCAAAGCATTTGAAGTTAAGGATCTTGGTCAGCTAAAATATTTCCTGGGTATCGAAGTTGCAAGATCAAAGAGGGGAATAGCCCTGTCTCAGCGGAAGTATACCTTAGAGCTCCTAAGTGATATGGGAATGCTTGGATGTAGAGCAGCCCCAACTCCCATTGAACAAAATCACAAATTGACAGCACAGATGGGTGAACAAGTTAACAAAGCAAAATATCAACAATTGGTTGGCAAACTTCTGTACTTGTGTCACACTAGACCAGATATTACATATGCAGTAAGTGTAGTAAGTAGATATATGCATGACCCCAGAAGTGGACACCTTGATGCAGTCTATAGAATCATGAGGAATCTAAAGGGCAGCCCTGGTATGGGACTCTGGTTCAAGAGTAATGGCCATTTGAATGTTGACGGTTATAGCGATGCTGATTGGGCTAGCTGTCTTGATGATAGACGATCAACCTCTGGCTATTGTGTGTTTGTTGGTGGAAATTTGGTATCATGGAGAAGCAAAAAACAACCGGTGGTGTCAAAATCAACTGCAGAAGCTGAGTATAGGGCAATGTCTCAAGGGCTGAGTGAGATGTTATGGGTAAGAGGCCTTCTGCTTGAGCTGAAAGTGCTCAGACAAGATCCTCTGAATGTGTGGTGTGACAACAAATCTGCAATCAACATTGCTAATAATCCAGTGCAACATGACAGAACAAAACATGTGGAGATAGACAGATTCTTTATCAAAGAGAAACTGGATGCAGGAATCATCAAGATAACTCATGTGAGCTCTGGACAACAAGTCGCCGATTGTTTGACAAAAGGTTTGGGAACCAGGGAGAACAATCTTGCTTGTGACAATCTTGCTTGTGACAAGATGGGCATGATAGATATCTATCATCCCTCTTGAGGGGGAGTGTTGGGCTGTGTCTTATCTGTATTTCAGTGTGTGTGTGTGTGCGTGCGCTTATGGCCCATGTGGCCCATGTGGCCATGTAACCCTGCAGCCTATATATGTGCTGCCCCCTTGTACAGGAAACCCTAACTCCAATAGAATACAATACCAGGCCATCTTTCTATCCCAGCCGCCACCCCTCTCTCCCCTGATTCTACAATATCTAATGACATCCTTAGGCTTAACAGTTGCAAGTATGTGAGTTCCATCAATAGCTCCAATGCAGTCTTTGAAATGTGGCCACATCCTCCTATCATTTCTGATTCTACCATGAACAGCAGAGAAGTTTGGATCTTTTGGTCGCACAAAATCTTTAGACATCTTTACCAAGCAGCGCAGAACAAGATCAAACTTTCTACTGATTGTGTCACCGGAATGCTTGAATCGATTTTGCGCTCCCCGATTTGAGTGACATCCACCACAGATGTACAAGAACAGTGCTAGAGCTTCAAAAGTACTCATAGCGTAGTTGATTTTGGACCATACGTACTCACCAAAAGATGATGCAGATTGTGAAACATTGTAGAATTCATACAAAACATGCGGTGGCTCTCCCCTGGAGTGCTCAAGGTGTCTTTCACCCAGCCATTCCACTGAGAATTGAAGTCCTATGTTCATTCTTATCCAAGTAGGTCGTGTGATACTTTTCAACAACAGTTACAGCAGAAGCAAGATTGCTTATCATCATTTTGTGTAGGTGCATCAGCTGTACATCTTCGTCATGCTCTTCATTTGAGTAATTACTCCCTCCACTATCACTTTCACTTGAGGACATCTATGCATATAACATACATGAGACAATTCACATTGAGAAACGAGTCGATGGCAATAATGACATACGTAAATAGGAATAAGATTCAAATGACTGTATTCATATAGATAATTTGTGACAAACCGGACAGGGTCTTACAAGCCAAATAAATTACTAAATGCAACTTGAAAGATAGGAGTGTTGAAGGCATACTAATAGGAATGCCTTAACAATTACAACCAAAATATCATAATCTATTTGCCATTCATGGCATTATATTTCCTTTTAAGCCAGTCAAATCGTGCACGAGCATCAGGTATGGTCATAGACATTTCCCTTTGCTTCTTCTTTATGAAAGTTTCAGAAGCAATGAAGTGCTCATTAGTGCCAATGACACCACCACATTCTGTAACCAGAGACATGACATCTTCGATGGTACAAACAGAGGCATCCTCTCTCTTTTGACCAATGGATTCAATGGCTGCTTGCGACTTCTTGCTCAGCTCAACAATTTCTTTCAAATGGTCTTGCATGATCATAGAACACTCCTTGACTTTTTTCCTTTTCCGTCTATAGGACCACCTGCTCTTTTTCCTTTATTATTAATAATTGGCAACTCATCTTCCTCCTCACTTTCTTTGTCATCGTTCTCATCTCCATGGTCTTCAGCATCAACATTCTGAGGACTTTGAGGCAACCTACAATTAGCAGGCCAATGGTGTTCACCAGTGTTGCGCAAGTCTTCAAAGATCTTGGCCAAAAGGTCCTCATTTTGAAGTCCAGCCTTCTGAAACCTACTACAACCTTGGTATTTCTGTCAACGCCAAGTACTAAACGTTAGGCATCCACGGATAGTGAAGCATTTTTTGTATGTGCAGAAAATAAATGACTAGTACCTCACTTTTTAAAGATTTTTCCAACGCTCAGCAGAAGCTGTAACCGTTTGCTTCACAGAATCCCAGCCTATACCTGTCTCCTTTTTCAAACTCTTCCAAATGTAGTACACACTTTTTAGTTTATCCCATTTGTTCTTAAACTGTCTTTTGTTGTACTGTATTCCAGTCTTCTGGTAAAATTTATCAGTCACTGTCATATACCCAGTATTATTCATATGTGTATTTGGGCGATTTCCAGCCTCAACTTGTTACTTGAACAACTCACAAACCAAGCGAGTGTGTTCTTCATTCCACTCAGCAGTTGCTTCCATTGCTACTGTTTTCGGCATAAATTCACGTAAGCAACGGTAGCAGCTGCTAATAAAAATTAAATGAAGTTGGAGATGCACGGAACAAGTCTGCTAGTATTATTACTAAATACTAATACATATATGAAGGCATAAGTACCTCACAATAAATAAATTAGCTAGTACTACTACTAAGAAATCTGATAGTACGTCTAATCTATTATTTAGGGAAGCGACTCATTGGCAGCATATATATATATATAAAGGAACAGAACGCACTCACATTCAGTAATCAGCTAGTGAGAGGCGTACATCTGCACTTCTACCAGTTATCTACAGCCAATCTGATATCTATCTTGAATATATATGATTTTCTATGAAACCGAGTTCCTCAATCAATCTTGGCACATGTCGTGTTGGAATTTGAGAGGGGATGGGAAAATCTTGATACAAGCAATGGGGACAGGTGAACATGAACCAATCTATAGCCTAGGGTTTGGGGATGGGCACCATACCTTAACACAATAAATGGAAGAAGTGAGTCAGCGGTGTAGCAGGTCGCCTTTGTCGGTCTCCGGTGACGGCCGTGGCTGCCGTCGGTCGTGGCCTCGGTGACGGCCGTGGCTCCCGCCAGTCGCCTCTCTCCGTTCCTCGTACGATCGTATTTTCTCGGAGCCCCGGGCGTTCGGCTCTGCTCCCTCGATCATACAAAATCTGAGTGCAGGAGCCGTACCGAACACAGCCTTATTTGCTGTACTTGTGAGACATTTATATTTTCTTTCAGTGAGCTCATGTTGAATTTTAGCTATAGTGGCATGAGTCACATCGATTGTAGTTGGGGAACCAGTGAGAAATAATTTTTTCACTGAGAACTGGTGGAAGGTCTGCTTGATTGGTTAAGTCAACATCATTGGCCTCACTAACCTTTTAGTAAGGATATTCTTACAATGTTTCATTCTGCTTAGTAAATGCACATGTTTGCATCTATTCGCGTGATTGGCTTAGGCTAGTCATAGCGGGGAGTAACTTAGACTAGTAACATACATATGTTACTAGTCCATATTACTACCTTCATAGTGGGAAGTGTCATAGGTGTAGTAACATACATATCTTCAGTTATGGCTTTGTAGACTCATTTTGTATTGGGAACCGCTATGTGATGGTAACATATTATGTTACTCTGTTTGTCTCTCTCCTCTTTAATTACATGACATATCATCTTTTTTGCTTATGTGGCATCTATGTTACTACTTATGTTACTCCCACTATGACTAGCCTTACAGAGGTTCACAAGTAACATAATGAAACCATTTAATATGAAAATTCTCATCTTATGGCAGGCTCCGTTCATTCATGCGTATTTGGACTCATACATCCATTTGACATTATATTGTGGCTAATTTCATTATATTTCTGAGCCTAGCCTAGTGACCTATTACGTATTTATTTTTTGTTTCGTTGTACATACTGACATATAGTGAATGTGTTGTATATTTCAGGCACAAGAGTTGGTAAGTGGGCTGCTTGCTACGTTTCGAGACAATGTGTTCCCTGTTTTACTTCAAGCTGCAGTTCATGTGAGAGAAAAGAAGGTCCCGAAAGCTGAAGAGGTTCTAAGTCGGTATGCTGAGAAGCATCCTGATAATTCTACAGGAGTCCTTGCACTCGCCCAGATTGCTGCCAATGCCAACCATTTTCAGATTGCTGCTGATTCGCTATCTAAGATATCTGACATCCAGCACATGCCTGCAACGGTTGCTACACTGGTAGCTCTAAAAGAGCGTCTAAATGACTCTAATGGTGCTGCTTCTGTTCTTGATTCTGCTATCAAGTGGTGGAAAAACGCCATGACTGAAGATAACAAGTTGGATATGTTCATGCGGGAGGCTGCTACATTTAAGCTCAACCATGGGCGTGATAAAGAGGCCTGTCAGCTGTACGAGGAACTTGTGAAGAGCTATGGAAGCACCGAAGCGTTGTCTGGGCTAGTAGCAACGTCCGCACGCACTGACCTTGCGAAAGCTGAGCAATATGAGAAGCAGCTGAAACCGTTGCCGGGTCTTCAGGGAATTGACGTAAAGAGCCTGGAGAAGACATCTGGTGCAAGGCATGTAGAGCAAGCCATGAAGGTTGATGCTCCCGAGGAAGTGAAGAAGCAAAAGGCTAAGAAGAGGAAGAGGAAGCCTAAATATCCGAAAGGATATGATCCAGCGAACCCAGGGCCACCCCCAGATCCCGAGAGATGGCTGCCCAAGAGGGAGAGGTCGACCTACCGTCCGAAGAGGAAGGATAAGAGGGCTCAGGTCAGAGGTGCTCAAGGCTCTGTGAGTAGAGAGAAGCATGATGCATCTGCTGCCAATGCCGGCGCCACCTCTTCAAAACCCACCACCTCGGCCAAGGCTCCAGAACCACCAAAGGGCTCCAACAAGTCCCGGAAGAAAAAGTCGAGGTCTTAGGCGGCAAAGTTGTCATGTCACAAATTAACAGTATACAAAGGACACTGTCCATTTTAGTACCTTGACTTGGAATTTTTGTGTTATCTGCATTGGATTGCCCTGTGCCGTGCTTTTAGAATCATGTTTATGGTGGCTTGAGATTCTAGACCGTTGCAAATTTTGTTAACGCTGTCTGACTTGTCTGGTTGAAATTCCATTCTTTACATGCTATATTAACTTTGCAATTCTATGGGCGCTCACTCCTCCGCTCGGCATTGATCTAGTGGCAGAGGCGCAATGCTCTCTCCGATCTGGCCTCCCCTGCAACCGGCCTCTACCTCAGTCCGTGGCTGTTGGGGTTCTAGCGACTCCTGCACCGACGGGAGACTCACTCGGCCTCACGTCCTCTGGCCGTTTTGGTTCTTCTCCATGGTGGCCTTGCCCACCGTGATCTGACATGGTTGTCCATGGTCGGGACCATGTCGCATCGTTAACGTCTGCCCTGCTCCGTCTACAGCCACTCCATCCCCGCTCTCCTCCTGCCTTTTGTGTTTGCTTGTGAGAGGAGGATTGATGATGTTGCCGCTGTCGTACACCTTCTTCCCTATGGCTGGCCAGATCGACGGATACGCAACAGGCAGCAGATTGCATTTTATGCGAATATGCTTCTCCATGGATTTTTTTCATGAACAGTACTCCCCTAATATTTCTGCCCTTCAGATTGCATTTTATAATAGCTAGATGGAAAAAAAAGGAAAAACTTACATTGGTCTTTGTCCACTCTGAATATTCTTGCTTCAAAATGTCCACTGTTCTATCGTCAGGTACCTATAGAAATATGAATCGGTCACTAGGTTTATGCAATGGATCATGATCGCTGATCATTAGACTTGGAGGACTTCGATGGTTTCACCTTATTTAGTTTCCTTTGTTTCTGCTCAACCGACAAACTTCTACCTGATGCATATGTACCCTATTCAAAGTCGCATATTTTGGTACCATGTAAATGATCATCTTATAAAATACCAGATGTAGTGCCAATGCACAGTCATTTCTTTTCCTATTTTGCTCACAAAGAATTACTTTATGTAACAAATCCGATGCCTCAATGTAGCAGTTTTTTCCTTTATCATTAGTTTTGTTCTGCTTCCGTGCTTGCTCTGTTTTGAGTATCTTCAGTTAAAAAAAGACTAATCAGCAGCCAGGGGCGGAGCCAGAAATTTTGACCATTGGGTTCACTCAATGGCTCATTGTGAGAACTTAGTACTAATATGTGAAGTGTAAAGTCTAATTTTAAACTATCTTACAACAAAATTATAGCACCCAAAAACAGCATAATGAAAGAACACGTTGTGTTGCATTAAAAACTAAAGAATGTAAGACATACCGGTTCAATAAAGTTATAAAAGCACTTGCTAACAAATTGTAAATAGCATAGTATCAAATAACTTTATAGCTCTAGATGTAGCTTCTCATCTTCCTGGCACATTTAAAAAATGACAAGTTAGTTTGAAAAATTTAGAATAAGTACTATCAAGTGTAAGAATCTTGTAAAAGCACTCACATTTTAGAATGTCCCCTTTCGATCTTTCATCGCCTTAAAAAGATTAAACATTGCATCATTAGTAATGGTAGAAAATATATCTTTCTCCATATTGCAAATTAAACTTTGGATTAAATCTCCGTTGAGTATCTCCAATCTCCCTCTGGGGGTAATCAAAATTAGACGTTGTCCTGTAAGGTCCCCACACTAAATTACGCCTAATCTCGACTTGCTTCTTTGGATTTCTTGTGTACTCTGAAATTCTCTTCCGATCAGCCGAATCATAAGGCAACTCATCTAAGTTAATTTCTGTATGAATAGTAGCCTTCGAAAGACTAGACATTTCATGGACTTAGCCTACGTTTAACGGGTGACCTTGATGTGCCTGTATCATTCTCTCGATCTGGTGACCAAGTTTTCTTCGAAAAATACCGCTCCATAGCCTAGGTCAATCAAAGTCCATGAAAAACAAATCAAAAACTAGGGCAAAAAAACACTAGGCTATTAGGCTAGATAAAACATACATCAAAGAGAGGAGATGAGGCAATGTAATCTAATTACCTTAAATTTTAGGGTACACTGTTGTTGCTGTCGATCTGGCTGTGACCGGCCGAGAGGCGGCGGCGCGGCGAGGCAGCAGGAACACGAACAGACGAGAGGAGAGATGCGAATTGGAAAAGGAAAAGACGATGAGGCGTGCGGCCACGTACGTGACTAATCACGGTGATTAATTACGGCCAGGAGTCCAGGACTCCTCGTGGGCTGTTCACTTGTGGGCCTTTTGTTTAGTCGCTCACATGACAACCTTTCGTTAATGGGTTCAGTCACAATTTTTTAATGGAAATATGCACTGCATGCACGTACGAAGCATAATCCGTTGGGTTCAGTTGAACCCAATGCTTGTACGTTGGCTCCGCCGCTGTCAGCAGCTACTACAAAAATATACCATATGTGGTGTGAATGCGCAACGACATATTTTTCTTTATGCATTGGACTATAAGCCAAGCAGGCCTATTAGTATCATTCTAAAGATGAATACAAGAAAGGATTCAGAGAAGAAAGGCCATGAATGTCAAGGACAAATTCTGGAGATGCTCAGTACTACAACTAGAAAAAGTTTTGCCATGGCACCTCAATTGTTCTGGTATGTTGCTATGAACAATTTTCATTTCGCTGCCATGGAAAAACAATTTTAACAATGGATTCATCCTGGGAAGTCCTCGTGAAAGAGTTTCATATCTAAGGGTTGTGATAGGCTTGGCGAGCCAACGTAAAAACTAGCCAGTCTTTTGGGTATGAAACCCATTTGGGCGAGAGTAGTACTATGATGGGTGACCTCCTGGGAAGTCCTCGTGAAAGGGTTTCATATCTAGCCTACCCCAACTTGTTTGGGATCAAAGGCTTCGTAATCAGTAATCAGTAATCAGATTCATCCGCGTCCATGTGCTTGCTATTCACGACGACGAACCCAAATGATCTAAAACAAGACAGGAGCCTACCGTCCTAACCAGTACGGCCATACCAATGCTGTTATTACCAATGCTAGCTTCGCCAACTACCAGTATTGTTTGTACCACCATATGGTAACTATTTCGTTTTTGCTATGTAACCATATTCAATAAATAAAAAAGATCAACGATAAAATGTGATGACCATCCGACAACATCAAAGGTCGTTGAAGTAGCTGATTCCTCTAAATAGGAGGTGCTGAGAACAAAGAAATTATTGAAGCTATCGTTTTCCTCTAGCATTAATAGAATTCATTGGTATTAAGAAAAACCTCGATATAACTCAAACAACAACGTGTTTAAACACGGGCGCAGCGTGCCGCTGCGCCTTCTGCCTGCTAGTAAGATACAAGGGTACTCAAGATACAGCACTCATCAGCTGCAAGCAGCATTTCTAGACTACTGCTGTGACACGAGCGCTACCAACAGCTACAGGCTACAGCTACAAATTTACATTTATCATAATGCAGTTAAAACGCATAAGTTATTCTAGCATATATGCACACCATATTTGCCAAGCTATTAGAATTGATCGGTTCGCGGGTTGCAGCTAGTCCCTATTGTCATTCAGCAGGGAGTTGACATCCGGGGTCACCACGACATGCTGCCTCTCGATCTCCCCAAGCTGGCAGCAATGTTTCCTTCTAGTGTTCACCGCTACTGCGTGCTGCTGCATCCCGCATTCCGTGCCTGGGCTCACCTGCAACGGAAGAACCTAAACAGTAAACACCACACATACCGATATCGTGCTAGATCTTCAAGAGAACATATCACCGAAGGCATGAACTAACATCGAACACGGCATCTCCCAGCTTCATCTTGACCTTGCCGCTCTTGTACACCAGCATCTTGCCCATGTACCCCCCTGGCAGATCATTCAGGTTGTACCCTTCTTTCACCTCCTTGACAATGGCCCTTCCATTCCTATGAACTACAGTGGATGGTGTTCTGAGCAGAGGAAGAGATTTCGGCAACTGGAACAAGAACATCCTTGTCTTGTCTTCGTGTTCCTGTCGTCCCAAATTTGTGAACGAGTTATATAAGTGCCTGACAGTATCAAGGTAATTGGTGTAGGGTTCAGAGAAGCCTACGAGCAGATTGAGCTCTTTCGCTGGATGGATGGAAGATTCACATTCGGTTGAGCTTGGGAGAGACTCCGGTAACTCAACATCATTGTCATCTTCTCGAACAACATTATCATCATCTTCGTCCTCGTCATCTTCATCACCGTAGAACCTTTCTGTCAACAAATGAACATTCCCATGATTATTCCTAGTGGAATGTTTTGGCCAAACGTTTGGAACGAATGAACCGAAGTCTCAAATTCACCTGGATTGGCAGGGAAGGCCCTAGGGATTTGAAGTGCCTTCTTTTGCCAAGGCAAGTACACAGACCCAAGAACAAACTTAAGTCATGTGCCTCTCATGACAAGGGAACAGTATACTATTTTCTAACAGAGTAAGGTTGAAACCTGAGAATTTTTTGGTTGCTTGTGCTTTCCTGACTGCGCCGCTTGGAAGCTAACTCCAGCTGCAGAAGAAAGCGTCTTCGAGTCGGAATTCTGTGCCGATTGCTCATCTGCAAAGCGAATACAAATAGCATTACAGCAAGGCTTTGCCATGTTTAAGAAAGATTGCTGATTGAAAGCTCATTTTATGTGTACTTCGCTGATTTGATTGACCAACCTTTTATAACTCGCAAAGTTTTTGCATCTCCTCGTCCCGTCTGATAAAAAGGAAAAAAAAACGAAACAGACAGTCAGCCCCAGACAGAAAGGAACAATTGTGTCCTGAGTAAACAACCACTATGTAGTAGTACTATCCAACCCCAATCCCAATACATAATATATGACTAAGGCTGGTCATAGTGGGGAATAACTTAGACTAGTGTCATGCATATGACACTAGTCTAAGTTACTACCTTCATAATGCAAAGTAACATAATAGTAGTATCATAGATGACTTCATTTATTAGCTCATAGATTCATCTTGTCTTGGAAAGCGCTATGTTACAGTAACATATTATGTTACCACCTCTCATTAATTATTTGCCACATAAGCAGAATTTTCTCAAAGTGTGCTATGTTACTAGCTAAGTTACTCCCACTATGACTAGCCTAATCACTCACCCTCAGTGTCTTCATTAACTCTTCATCAATTGGTTTTGTCTCTTCCAGTTGTGGCCTGAAAGAGCAGAGAATGTGCTTGGTAATGTAGTAGTAAACTGTAACATGCCAGGTGAACAAAATTTGAGAGATATTATTACTAGCAGTAGCAGCTCAAATCAAGGAGAAGAGAAGCGTACTTTTGTGCAGGTGGTTTCTTTGGCTTGCGCGACGGCACTTTCGGCTTGAACTTGAGCTTCTGTGGCTATTTAATAAATTTAACAACAAGAAAACACCTATCAGTAAAATACTAATCGTGTCCAACTCAGCATTAGCCATTAGAAAGAACAAAGAATCCTAGAACCCACCTTGGTAGGAGGACGACGACCTCTCTTGGAGGTACCTGCCGCGTCCATTTTCTGCTTTCCCCCTGTGATAAAAACATGTGGATTTGCTCAGTGTGACCATAAGTAACAACTTTTTGCAGAGAGCACCATTTGCTCTACTGACTGACCCTCAACTTCAGTGCTCTGCTGCCAGGGCTCTGTTCTCCCTACACTGTACCACACAGCTAGAATTCTGGCTACAGAAATGCAGACGAGCAAAGCCCCAGATTCACAGGTGCGGCCAAGGGTTACCAGAATCACAGGAACAAGCCGTTCCCCGGGCAGAGAACTGAGAAAATTGGAGGCAGGTCAGGCAGAGAGAATGGGGAAAAAAAATCCTCAAGCGCTGACCTAGCAAACTGCTAATCAGAAGCAGGCAAGCAAAGCAAGAACCAGAAGAATTGACTGGTTGCGACGGCAAGCGCAAGACGCGGTGGCTCTACGGAGCACGGGGATATCATCTAGCTAGCTCCTCTTCTCTGCACCCCATGGATTCCTCCTATTCGGCCTACAGTGAGCTCGCAGGGCAGGTGGCCAAGAAATCGAGCAAGCGGAACTCGCAGCTCCCAGAGCACAATCCTCAAAATCCCTAGCTCGGAGGCGCGCAGCATACGTACCTACTGCCGGAAGGGACAGGAGGTCGAGCTCGAGCTCGAGCTCTTCCTCTCTGGAGAAACGGCCGTCGCCCCTCGCAGCCTCGCTCCCTCGAGCTGCAGCAGCCGTTCTTCTTCTCGCTGCTGCTGCTGATGCTTGCTTTGAGACGTTCAGGAGGGAAAGCTGGTGAAACATTTTTACAGTAGGCAGCGCGGGCCCACGTGCCAGCGACCCGTGGACCGAGGAGCCGGTGCACCGAGCGAGGCGGGAGAAGGTTAGCGGGAGGATCGGGTGAGACGGCTGCTCCAGGAAAGACGACGGGCGACGGGCTGCAGAGACACACGGCTTCGCAGAGAGGACACGTGTGCACTCGAGACGTGAGCCGCGCCGGAGCAGGTGACGTGAGCGGCGCAGAGGATCCGATCCGGTCGCGCGCCTCTGCCGGACTTGTCGATGTGTGAAGTCCGCAGCGAAACGAAAGGAGACTGACGGTGTTTATCCTCCTGGCCGGCCGGCTGGGTGATTGGTTGGTTGGGCTGCCATGTGGGACCACATGGTCAGCGAGCGAGCCAGGCTGATCTGCCTAACAGCATCTAGCAGGCCCATAAGTCAGAATATCTTTTTTATGGGTCCGCTTTGTGGGGCCTGCTTGGTCATCGCCCTCGCCGACCCGTAAATCCGTAATTTGCATTACATTTCTGGCCATGAAAACACACTTCTTTGCTTCTTTATTTCTACAAGGGCATTGAATACATCATAGTTCATCAAATCTTTGCTAGAATAGTAAGATCAAAGAAAACAAGAATCACAATTAGGTATTTTAGAAGATATCCAACTTCCATAACTACTTCCACTAGCTGGACCAACATCTTCTTCATGCATTCATAGTTGATCTGCGGATTCTTGATCTTGCATTCTTGCATTCTTCTTTTTTAATTCTAAAGAAGTAGACGTTGCTTTTCCTCTAGTTTCTTTTCTAATTGTGCATGCAGCCGCATCATTAGGCTCAATTCTAGCAACGAGTGCACAAACATCTATTAAGTTTCTTTCTATTAATAAGTCTATGTATTCTTCTTCCCGAAACCAAAATGAGCACCCATCTTCTTACACACATGACCATCTAGATAAGCTATCAAAATTGAACGGAATAGGTTGACAAAGCCGAATGAAAATAAGAGCATACCCTGTCGTTTTTGCATTTGAAGAATACCTATCCGTGGTGTTTCGGAGTGCTGGATGTTAGCCGCAGTACAGTCTACATGCAGTCGTCGCACGATATGAGCGGCATCGGCGAGCCGTTGCGCGAGCGCCGAGCCCGGGCCACGGCTGACCGACACCTTGCCTGTAAACCGACGACGACAACTAGAGGACGTACCAGTACCTGCATGCGGCTTTGAGGTGCGCAGTCACCGGTGGCCGGAACCGCCAAATCCGACGGCCGCAACAACCAGTCGCCGATCTGCAACTTTTCGACCGGCCGCG